AGAAGTGCCCCTCGCGCTGGGTTAGCGAGGAGACTGCGAGGGGGGAGGAGGGCCGTTCAGCGGAGCGCGTTCCCGCGCTTTGTAACCCGCGTAACACCGAAATTCCGAGATATCTGCGCGTCTGGGGAATGTCACCGGGAATACAGAGCTTCAAAGCGGCCCCCGGCCGCCTCCGCAGCGATGCGCGGGTGCGCTGTGCTCCCTCCTGGCTCCCGGCTGTGTCCGAACCCGCTTCCAGCGTTAATTAGTTCATTAGCCGGGCGTTAATCCGTCAGCCGAGGCTGTCCGCCGTGCCCCGGCAGCCCCTCGCATTAACGCGGTAATTTCGGGGTTGCTGAGCTGGAGACTTTCCTCCTCGTTGCCTCTGCTGGTGCCGTCGTTGCTCTGTTGGAGGAAAAGCTGCTGACTGTGCGACTTTTAAAAGCTGTTTGCGGTAGGAGCTGTAACTAAAAACGCAGCTAAATTTAAAACTGTATTAAAATTCCCCAGAACGCTGCTCCTATTTTCATCTCGCAAAGCTCTGTCAACTTGCAGGTTTTTAGTGGCCTACATAGTACCGAGCTATTCCTAGAGAGGGCACGAGCTGTGTTCTGCAGCCTTCCAGAAGGAGAACGATTTGGGATCCTGTATCTTACCTTATTTTCTGAGCCTCTGTAGTATACTGGAGATAACTTGAAACAATAAGGTGGAGAGCTCTTTGTGGCTCTACTGTCCACAAATGGTGGTGGGGTGAGGATCTTCATCCCCTAGGTGCATGCATCTCCATAAAACATAACTCTTGATGCATTTCTGTTAGTGTAACTCCTAAAACTCACCTTAAAAAAATTTTAAAAATTATGAATTCTGAAGCTGATTCTCTTTTCTTCGGCCTGGTGACACGTTTTCAGTTTGGAGGTGGGAAGAAAGGGCTGGGCTGTTGATTTAGCTCTGGTTTCTTGGCAGGAAGATGGAGCCTGTGATGCTGAACTTACGGAGTCTGTATAATCAACTTCTGCGCCAGGCTGAAGTTTTAAGTGAAGGAGACGAATGCCGTAAGTTCTGTTCCTGTGGGGAGCTGAAGTGGGTTGTGCTGTGTTTGCTGTAAGAATGTGAACAGGCAAACCAACCTTATTAGCTGTTGTTGATGAATCTGTTGATGCTGTTATGGGTAAAAAGACTGCTACAGATAGTCAGATTTGAGGTTTTTTTTGTCGTTGAGAAATACAAGGTCACAGGCTGGATTTCTGGGCATGGCCACGTTCTGCTTGTAGCAAGCTGACGTCATCCACGCAGAGTCTCACCTTCTAGCTCTTCTGGTTGGTACAGACACGAAGGACTTGGTCTGAGAAACTGAGAGGTCTCGGGAACATCTAGGGCGTGGGTGGGTTTGCTAAAAGACCAACTTCTCCGCTCTTCAGTTGGGAGCAGATTATATTAATGGATACCTACTGCCAGTGAAAGGAGAGCTGCTGCATCTTGTCTTCTTGCCTGGGTGGCTAAAGATGTGTGTCCTCTCTCTAGAGTTTATTCAGTTAGCGAAGAACTTTGAAGAGTATCGGAGAAAACTGCAGAAAACGGAGCACGAGCTTGGCAGGTACAAAGATCTGCTCATGAAAACTGAAGCTGAGCGTAGTGCTTTGGACGTGAAGCTGAAACATGCTCGCAATCAAGTGGATGTGGAGATCAAACGAAGGCAGAAAGCTGAAACGGACTGTGAAAAGCTGGTGAGTAATTCCTTTCTTACCAGTTGGCTCTTCAGAGTGTGTGACAAGGTGATTAGACTGCATTGATCTATGGAAAATAAGGACTGGCGCTCATAATAACTTTTGTCCCAGGGTGGAAAAAACCCAGCAACAATAAATTGGCATTGCTCCTTGTAGCAGCCTTCTGTTTTGGTCTGAAAAAGGCAACTGGCTGCTGTTTGGAGTTGAGCTGCCATTACCTGTCGGAGCACGGGCTCTGCAGCCATGAGCAGTCTATTGACACGAGTTCTGAGAGCCATCTGTGTGGTATCTCGGACACTTTGCATTGGTTCATGCAGTAATTAAACACAGCTTGTCTTGTGGGGGTTTCTGATGTTACCTGCCTTTACAGGAGCGGCAAATACAACTGATCCGAGAGCTGCTCATGTGTGATGCGTCCGGGAGTATCCAGCTAAGCGAAGAGCAGAAGTCTGCCCTCGCCTTCCTTAACAGGCCGCAGGTTTCCATAGGGGGTTCAGGCAACAAAAGGTGAGTGACACATGTCTGAGCAACACAAGTGTCCTAGAATCATAGAATCATGGAATGGTTTGGGTTGGAAGGGACCTCAAAGATCATCTAGTTCCAACCCCCCTGCCATGGGCAGGAACACCCTGTGTCAATTACTGATCCGGCCACGTGCCTCTGTGGTACCTGCTGCACCCATATCAACAGTTTTGCTTTTTATTCCGATTTGAAATACAGCTCTTCTGAGTCAGTAAAACTGTTCTGGAACCACAGCTGACTGAAAGCCAAACTGAGACAAGTTTCTTCTAATTTTTGATTTTTCAGGCTGTCTACAATAGATGAATCTGGCTCGATTCTGTCAGACATCAGCTTTGACAAGACCGATGAGTCACTGGTAACGTAACTCCAAGTTCTAAAGTTTTCCTCCACCGTAAAACCTTAGGGGTGTGGGTTAATCTCTAGAGACCCTTTGTGTTTAGATTACTGTGGTATTAAACTGGTAGAGCTGATTTGCATTTCTCTGGTGTGCTGTTGGCTAAAACGTAATGAAAGCCCTGGCCAGAGGCTGTGTGGTATTTACGCTGAGCTAACTGGTGTTGTGTATTTCCCACAGGACTGGGATTCCTCTGTGGTGAAAGCTGTCCGACTGAAAAGGAGAGAGAAGCGGGTATGTTCAATTCTTCCCCTTCAGATAGATTCCATTGTTAGCCTTGGCTGACACAATGTCACCATCTGTCACCTCACAGCCACCTAAAATGGTGTCTGAGCTACTAATCACAATCAAACTTCAGATGGATGTGCTCCTTCTGTAATTCAGACCTGCTGTGTGGATTTAGATTGAAAGTTAATTCTGATGTCATTGTCTACTGAAAATGACTGGAGTTCTGCATATCTTGTTCTGTTATGGCCTGGAGTTTGCTAGAGAGCACTTGAAGATTATTAACAGCTACCAGATTAGGGGGAAAATCATGTAGGAAGTTAATATTTTGTTTTTCTATGAAGGATCTTGTCTGCTGTTAGTATGCAGTAGGCACGGATGGGAAAGGACAGCCTGAAATCCAAGAGTCTGGGACTTGCTTAGTTGCCTCTCTGTTTTTGTTTTTGGGTGTTTGGGGTTTGTTTTTGTGGTGGTGTTGTGTTGTGGTTTTTTTTTTTTCCTCTCTCCTCCTTTCTTTTTTTCTAAATTGGATTATAAAGCTGGCTAGGAAAATTATTTGAAAGAGCAGTATATTGAGACCTCGTGACGCTTCATGGCAACTTCAAAGTTGCTGTGAGGAACAGGTACTGTGGAAGAACTTAACGCACCTGTGGTGTGCGCAGACAATTGTTCGGTCCTCCTAGTTATACCGAACTAATAGAACACAAAGTTAATAGCATACCTGCTTCAGAGACAAAAATATACCATATCTTTTCAGCGGTCTTCCAGGCAGTTCATTGAAGGCCCACCAGGTCCTCAGAAGAAAACCAGATCAATTGGCTCCACAGCGGACCAGGTATGGTGGTCCCAACTGGGTTTGTGTGTGTTTAAAGCAGTTGGTCATGTTGCATACCTGTTTCTAGGGCCAACAAACTAGAAAATCCCATATCCTGTCAGTATTGCTGTCACTAACTGCCTGTTTCTTGTTGCAGGGAAATGAATCCATAGTAGCAAAGACAACTCTCATGGTCCCCAATGATGGTGGCCCAATTGAGGCCATCTCTACTATCCAGACCGTGCCCTGCAGTCTGAGAAGCCGAAGGAAGAGTGGTAGGTGTCATGTCTCCGTTTGTCCTAGTCCTAAAGCAACTCCTTTGTAGGCTGGGGGCTATCCTGAAATGTTATGGGAGGTCCTCCCTCAGGACCCAGGCAGCTGCCCGTGGTTTATAATGCACTTGCTTTGAAGCAAAGGTTATGCAGAGGGGTGGTTCCATTCGGTCAGCACTCCTCCTCTTCTCTCTTTCAGGTCCTTTGCAGCCTTGGAGCAGCGAGTCAAGCATAGGCAGTAAGCAGCTGGAACCCAAACTGGAGACTGATGGCTCTGGCACCCCACAGAACACTGGGGGAGTGAGGCTGCATGAGTTTGTTTCAAAAACGGTAGGTCTGCAGGCAGGAAGAACCTAAAAAAGCATCTCCTTCAGGTTCAAAATGTGTGGGGTATCAAGCTATTGATCAGAGGCTGCCAGCCATTATTTCTTGAGTCAATATTGACTGTAGTGGTTACCTGCATGGATCAGGGAATATGTTATCCTGTATTGTTACTGGTGTAAGTCCTGCCGAGTTACAACATTGCGCTGATCTCTCCCCACCTATCTGCTCTGAATCATTAGGTTATCAAGCCAGAATCATGCGTTCCATGTGGAAAGAGAGTAAAATTTGGAAAAATCTCTCTGAAGTGCAGAGACTGCCGCGTGGTCACTCATCCAGAGTGTCGGGACCGCTGTCCTCTTCCCTGTATCCCCACCTTGACAGGGACTCCTGTCCGGATCGGAGAGGTAAGTCTGTAGGGTGAGCTTGGGGCAGTGCCAACACAAACGGGCTGATGTTTGGTTAGAGTTCAACGTGCCCAGGCTCCAGCAATCTGCCTTCTGCAGGAGAGCTCCTGTTGCTCAAAGCTGCACAGTAAGATGCAAATGAGCTGCTAATGTATCCTTCAGCAAGCAGGGGGGTGGGTGGTAGGGATGGGATGCTTGGAGGTGTTGAGTTGTGAACGTGGCAGCTCCGGGTAGGCGATCCTGCAGCATTGTGCTGATGGATGTAGTGTTGAGCTGATGAAGAAACAATTTATATTTTTTTTTAAGCCTAGATCTCACTATGAATTCCTTAGAGTATTTTCCATGTCTTGAAGACTCAGTATCTTTTTTCTAAATTTATTTTTCCTTTCTGCCTCTTAGGGGACCTTGATGGACTTTGTCCCTTCTACTCCTCCAATGATCCCTTCCATCATAGTGCACTGCGTTAATGAGATCGAGCAGCGAGGGCTGCATGAGGTAAAAAGAAAACGAGGTGTGAAACTGCTAATGAAACGGGTGGTGGTGTTAGGGAAACAAATTAACCTAAATATCTCGTATTTATGGTGTGCATATTGCTGCTTAGTGGGTGGCTGTGTGAGTGAGCAACAGTGTGTAGAGTTCTCACGTGTGGAGAGAAAGTGAGAGAGGAGGAATGTCGGCTTTGTACGCGTGGTCGATATTCTGCCTCTGAGCGATGCTCTCTGTTAACAGACGGGCCTTTACCGGGTGTCTGGCTGTGACAAGACAGTGAGAGAACTGAAAGAGAAGTTTCTTAGAGCAAAAAATATTCCTTTGCTCAGTAAAGTGGATGATATCCACGCCGTCTGCGGCCTTCTCAAAGACTTTCTACGCAGCCTGAAAGAACCTCTTCTCACTTTCCGGTTAAACAAGACTTTTATGGAAGCTGCAGGTAAGGAGTCGCT